TACTAGGCATAAGCACATCTCTTTCCACTTAAAACTAATATATATTGGTCCTGTGTTAACTAAGTCCATTGTTGAATTATAAAACAAAAAGGAGATTTTCTCTCATCACCAAACCAAATGATCCAAATTGTGATTGAGACCATATTTTCTATCTTGCCTACTCTATTCCTTAATCAAATGAATTAGCCATACTAGACTCTGTGATTAAAGTCAGGAAATGGAAAAGCCAAGAGATCAGTTTCTATTTCTGATAGCAGGATATGGAAGATGAGAAAGAGGTGAAGAAGGATTGCAAACCAGTGAGCTCCTCAAGGGCAGGGACCATGTGTCATTAATATTTTTCTCCCTATGGCCTGATTCAGCATCCAACATATGGGTAGGCATTGAATCTGGTATGGTTCTTGAATCTTTTTTTCCTGACGAATTACAGACAAGTGTTCTTACCTAGTCTGTGCTTGCTTAAGTGAACCCTGTCCTTTGCTTTCTGACCAGTGGCTTTCACAAGGAAACCCATGTTTGCTTCCTCAGAGGCACAAGACATTTACAGATTGTCCTTTTTTTTTTTTTCCCTTGAGACAAGGTCTCACTCTGTCACCCAGGCTGGAGTGCAGTAGTATCATCATGTCACTGCAACCTCTAAGTCCTGGGCTCAAACAGTCCTTCTGCCTCAGCTTCCTGAGTAGCTAGGACTACAGGTGCATGCCACCATGCCTGGCTAAATTTTTTTTATTTTTTGTAGAAACAGGGACTCACTATTTTGCTCAGGCTGGTCTCAAACTCCTGACCTCAAGCAAGCCTCCTGGCTTGGCCTCCCAAAGTGCTGGGATTACAGGTGTGAGCCACTGTGCCGAGCCTACTGATTGTGTTTTAGCTTGGTAATTCAGAGAACCTTGCTTAATCCTTCATAGTTAGATTGTTTTTTCTTGTAATCTTGTCTGTGTGTACCATGCCAGATTGCCAGTTGATGTTTAGTTTTTACTTCTTGAATTTCCATGACTATATGCTGTTTTCTATTCTTTTGTTCCTTTTTTTTCCATGCTACACAATCTGTACTGTCAACCTTTCTTCCTATGAATTACAGACATGACGTACCACTATAAAAGAAGGGTAACCCTCGAAATTTAACCTCTCTATCATAAGGGAAGATATATGCCTTTGATCCCAAAGTAACACCAAAAAACTCTGCAAAAACACATTGCTTATTGTAGACCGCTGTCATCCCCTGGTCCCTAAAGATGGGACTTGGGGAGGTTGAAAGGACAACATCTAGAAATCCTTTGTAGGAAATCCACTGGACATAATCTAGGTCAGAATTCCCTGAACAACAATAAGAAAGCCCCAGAAGAAAAGCTTCATGGATTAAAGTTATCCTATTATCTTTAAGACCTCCTTTTCTAAATATAATTGAAAGCTCTGTCCATTCTCTATGACTTTATGACATTAGCAAGGCCTAATTAGACCTTATAAAGAAAAGCTTGTCTGATTTCAGTGGCAGTAATTTGTCAGCTGCAGATTCGTATATATTGTAGATATACTTAATGTAAATATGATTTATATAAACTTGAAATGTGTAATAGAAAATATTAATAAAATCTTACTTTGTGTAAATACTTTGAAATAACAAATTCTCTCAAAAGAATTAGTCAGGAATCTCATAGTTTCACAGCTAGCTGACTGAATGAATTATAAATCATGTCTATCCTACTGCCACAGGAAGGTGCCATTTTAGCTGATAAACAGAAATGCCTAACGTACTTTGTCATGTCAAATGAACCAATGCTGTTGTTTATATTAGAACTTCTATGGTGATTTCAGACATTATTTTGTTATTTTTGTTTTTTGTTATTTTGTTCTGAAACTTTACCTGTTTTCATTAAGTTTTAAAAATATATTCAGTGATAATATCATGTAAATATTAAGCTCTCTGCCTTTCTATTATTTCATGAATTTAGAGTTTCTGTGATAAAATGTCAACAAACTTAAGCAATTACCATATTGAGTCATGCTTTTAATTTCTGCAAAATATTAGAGATAATGCTAAGAAAAATTTTTTAAAAACCAATAAAGCAAAAATATCCTACAGTACTTGTTGATCTATATGCTACATGAATGTTTACTTCCCATTTTACATGAAAATATATGTACATTAATATGTATTTTATGTTACATTTCTCCTTTGAGAAAATTAGTCTTGAATTATGTAAGGTTTGAATCATGCAAGGTTTTTAGGAATGCAGACTTTCTGAAATTTCCTCTAAATCCAAGCCCCAAAATATGAATAGTTGTATGTTTGTTCAGATCCTCAGAATACTGTGAAGCACATTTCCAAGTGATCCAAACTCTTTCTCTGGAAAATGGAGGAACTGAGTAGCAAATAGAAAGAAGCTAACTTCCTTTTTCAGTTTTGACATTAGCATCTTGTTTCTGATTGACCTGGTTGTTGGAAGATAAATCCCCTAGTGTCTAACATTCTCTAGCCTTTCAATAAAGTAATTTTTGTAGAGGAAAAGGTGAGCCCATTACTGATTTGGTTAACTTTAAATAGCCAGGTTCTTACCTCTCTGGTATATGTAAGATATTATTTCTCCTCTTCTCTGATCTAGCTCCCAAAGAAAATTAATCAGGTATGTCTGTACTTTACTACTAGTTATACAGATTACTGAAATGTGAACTAAGGTACCAGCCTTATATAATTTACTTTTCTGTAATATTAAGGACACTCAAATGTCAGGATTCCAGTCATATTTTCAGATCTTCATTCAGAGGAAATCTTTACTGGAAATATTACTTCTCTATGGGATAATATTCTCCAGGAATATGCTCCTAAATCAAAGAAATTTCTGTATAAATTCATTGAACATTACACTTTAATATCATGTTTGTATGCCAGCAGTTATAAGTTTAAGGAAAGTTGCATGTATTGATTTATTTAAAAATTGTCATTTTTGTTTATCTCAATTATGAACTATTAATAGATGGGGCATATCTATTTTGATGTGCATGTTTTAAAATATGATGTAAATAGTATCATGCATGTATCATTCTGTGATTTTATTTGTTCTATTACTTTTTTTAACTAATGCCATGACATTATTTTTATATAGTCTAGATACTAGTCCCTTAT